AAAATAAATAAAAGATTGAAGACAGTATCCTATTTCATTTTAAAAGATACGAAGACCATGAGAACATAAGGTGAACGATGGACATATCATACTTTTTTCTTACTAAATTTAAAACTTGCACTTCCCATGAAGAATTCTGTTGATTTTCTAATTATTACTTATTTTTCTTTCGTAGGCTTTTTTTTTTTTAATTTTCCTTATAAAATTAATTTTTTCTTAGTGGAATTGATTGTCATTGTTGTGACTTGTTTGTAATGGTTTTTTCTCTTTACTTTATGTAGATACCATTTTAGGGGCATTAATTGTTGTTTTCTTCACATGGGATTCACAGTTCTTCTCTTGTTGTTTAGTTTCCTTGGTCTTGTATCCAGTTTTCCTTCAATGGAATCTGTAAAGAGTTCTTAAATTTCGTTTAATAGTTCTCTTCTCTGAATCCATTTAAAACAACTTTTATTAATAAAATAATTCTCTTTGTCCTTAAAAATAAATAAATTCTTTAAATTCAAGTAGTACTTTTACACATATTAACAATATGATTGTCGAATCACTTTCCAACTGTTATTACCTTTTGAGACCAAATAACATACGTTTTAAAAAATATTACCAATTAAGCAGGCAGAATTTCTAAAAAGAATAATGTAAGTATTTTGTATTTGACCACAAATATATAGTATGGTTATCAAATCCATTTTTATGGCAGATGGAGAGTTGTGGGGTTGAAAGTGTTAGATGTTGCCAAGAAAACCAGCCTTTGAAATAAGAGTGATTGACAAGTATTTAGTTTTCTGCAAACTCCAACCGCACTCAGTACAATCACGTTCAAATGCATGCCCTAATTTGTTTAGCTTTTAATATCATCATATTCATATCCATGTGTTAGAATGCAAAATGAAAATTAAACTGTCTATAACAGCACAATTTAAACATGTCTATATTCAAAAAAGCACAAAGATTTCTAAAAAAACCAAAAGGCATAAAGAAAGCCAAAAAAAAAAAAAAAAAAGGGTTGCAAGACAAAACCATGAGTTAGTCACACATGAAACTCATGAGCTATACATACATACCTTCATTTCTAGCTAAATATAAATTAAGGATATTGTCTCCTCTTATTTTTCAACAAAAGACTCTATGATAAATAGATTATTCAAATTCTCAAATCAAAACTTGTTTTTTTTTTATTTTTGAACTAAGGCGACAAGATTTTTTTATTCATTAAAAGTGTAATTTCAAAATATACCAGATTCAACAAGTCGATAATTACCATTATTACATTCATTAAAATATAGTAAAGGTGAGAGAAAATCACAAGCTTGATTGTAAAACTCTATAATTTTATTAGTAGCTGATCTCATTATATGAAAGTCTGCTGTTTAATTAGCTGAACGGTACTCAAACTGCATACTCTCACTCTAATTAATTGTTATACTTTACATGTTGGGAGCCAAATTTCCATAATCAAACCATTTACAATTTCTTAAAACTTAATTTTCTTTGTGATACTATGTTAAATTTATACATGAAATTGGTATTGTATTTGTATTTTCGGACATTAACACAAAACTAAGGAGTTATATTACAAGCTACTATCTTTAGACTCCTTAGGCATCTCCATTAATGTATAATAGGCTAGATATGAAGCTTGCATTGTCGGCAATTTCCACATGATTTGGAAACTAGGGATGGTACTTTCACAATTTAATATAATATGCTAGCTATATATAGTTTTCTAGGGGTGACTTAATTCTGCCTCGGACCTGTACAACATAGGATGATTCAAATCCAAATTTTCAATGCCAATAGACCCTAATTTCCTCTTCTGCCATATTATACCATCTAGAAATGCCATACTATATAATTATGATTATGCATCCGAACATTTAATTAAATGATTAATGTACGATTTTTTTCCTATAAAAAAACCAGGTTTGGAATCCGACAATTTCAATAAAAAATCCCATATATAATCATTTGCTTGGAGACTTCATTTCTATAGCCTCGAAAGTGCTTGAATTTTTTTTTCTACCCTTGTTTTCAAAGAGGGTTAAAAGTTTTAATATTGTTGAGTAGTTTTTTTTACTTGAAATTATCAAAATATAAATCTTAATCATTAAAATTAAAAATTAAATATTTTATCAACAGATCATAACACTATTGTTTGTTAATATTATTGAGTAGATGCAACTCAAACATCAATTTACAATTTGTATCCAAGGAAGAAATTATGCTATTTTATTTCTCTTCTTAATTAGGTTCTTCAAATTCTATTGTATTCTAAAAGAAAACCCATTATTACCAATTAGGAAAACCCATTCTCTTATGAGATCATCGAGTGAAAATGGCGGCCAAAAAATATATAAATCAATCAAGAGAAATAATCGGGCATCTATTATTGTCTATGCAAGTACATCTTCCATTTTTTTATTTAAAATTCAAGGAAAAATGATGAACCTTTGGCATGAATGTTTTTTGCATTATGACCTCAGTCACTTGGTATATTTTTGGGGTAGGGTACGTTGAGGACAATACTTGCTATTGCAAACACATGCTACTTTGCTTGGGCTTTTAGATATTGGCCCACACCCCATACCTATTTTGATAGTAAAATATTTTGAAGAAAAAGTCAAAAAAATAAAAATAAAAACAGTTCAGTCTGAATTATTTGTACAGCTTATGCCCGTCGTCTTGCGTAAATACCACGCAAAGTTCTCTTATTTTATTATTATGAAAAAAAGGTATATATTTTATTTTTTAAATCGAATGCATTTATCACTAAAGGTATAAAAATATAGGTGACATTGTTAAATCAAATATATAAATATGCGGTGCATTTTATGTATTTGATTTAATTTTTTATTTATAAATATATAAATATAAATATCAAACAATTTAAATCTATTGAATTCAACAAATTTTAAGAGAGGAAGAAAAGAAATTATATATTCAAAAAATGCTACAACTTAGAGAAAAAAATAATTACATGTATTGAAATTTAAATTTTAAAGATATTAAATACTATTTTTTAAATATAATTACATAAAAAAATTAAAATAAAATTTTGAATCACATTAATTATTTTGTTAATCTTTATATAATGTGATTTCTTAAATTTAAAATTGGGTTTTTTTATTATAAATGGAAGAATGAATACCCTTACACATATATTAACCCATAAATACTTTTTATTCAATATATATATTATAGTATAAGAAAAAAATGATTAGAGTTCGAATCATTTTCAATTGAACTAGTAGTAATAATAAGAATAAAAAACACTCGAAAAAGCTCAAACAGCGGTGATGGGCAATGAACAACCTTTAGTTATGGCCAAAGGTGAGGTGAACCATAAATCACCCACCAATTTTCGAACTTCAAAATTCTAATCACCAAATTTTGCAGTGTCACATTCAGTCAATGGTTCCTATGGTTTGCAGTTATATGGGGACAGAAACTCAAATGCACCATAAAAAATTAAAAAAAAAAAAAAGGTGTTAAGCTTAAGCTAAGGAAGAAAATGGCGAAATAAAGTATCTGTGATGTAATGTTATTGACCTAAAAATTATCATATTTTTGATGTAATGTCAGTTTACAACACCTAACAATTTCTTTCAGAAGCAGAAATGGGCACTGAGAAAGGTAGTTTAACCTTTTAATTAGTATATTTGATTATAATTAAAGTTAATACAATCTAAACAATTTCAAATATGACTTGATAATAGGATAAAAAAATATAAAAGCAACATAATTTAAAATGTTAAAAAATCATATATAATTTGATAAAAAAAATTATATTTTATATTTAACATGTCAACATAAATTGTGATATAAAAATTTTGATATTAAACAAAAAATAAATAAATATAAATACACAAATCTTAAAATTTAACATAAGCTTATAAACATACTAAATCTAATAATAATTAAAAAAATTAACAGAGAAACCTATTCCATCTCACTTTCATATTTTTCTTTCTTTTCCCAACTTGAATAATAATGACATAACATCTTTTTCAGCTAAGAGTTGGGGTTTGAACTATGAGATTGGAGGCGTGAGGATAAGGGGAGAAGGCCATCCCCGAAATCCCTAACCCTCAAATCATCAAATTCCTAATCAAAGCAGCTAAATGAGCAGCCATCAGTCCATTACTGTTGAAAAAAAAAAATGGTAGTAGCATTAAAGTATGGTCTTGGAAACAGACCAAAACACAGAATTGTAGTAAAACGATTAGCATCACCCTGGTCTTATGGTGGACTTTAAGGGAACCGACCCATGCTTTTGCACCTGAGTTCTAAGACTCATAGCGGGAAACGTGCCCCCACAAAACCAAGATTGCTCGACTTCATCGTATGGCCAAAAACCAAACCAACCCAGAAAAGTTGTTCTAGACAAGACACCAGAACATTTTACGTTCTAATCTACTTTAGTCATAATCTCCCATTTTAATACTAACTTAGACTAATATTAGTAGCATTAATGGGATTCTTCTATTCTTCTCCTTTCCCTTAAAAGGAAAGTGAAATAAAAAATTGCATTAAGTAAAATATTAGATTATCCTAAGTTTACATAATTCCAAGAGAGTAACTACTAATTTATACCCATCAAAGCTTAGAATCCTGCATTATCTTAAAATCATACTAAAAAGCTAAAGTAAGAAGCTATAAGAGTTAAGAAGCATTTTTTTTTTCTATCAAAACTCTTAATCCAATCTATATATGTAATTAATATTAAAAATTATAATTATAATTATTATTAAAAATTATTTGACAAATTTAAATTTTTAATATTAATTATTTTAATTATTTTTTTATTCCCAAATAGAAAAAGGTTCTTTTTATACTTCAAAAAGAATAAATTAAAGCTTTAAATAAGTTTTTTTATATAAAAAAATAGTCTTATCAGTTTATCTCAACCACTAAAATACTGCAATTACGCAGATACAAACATCCAAGATGAGTTAATTATTCGGCAAAATAATGTTAAAAAATAAAGTAAAGCCCCTTTTTTGGGATGATGAAGAAAAGTGCAGCTGATGATTGAGAAGATACTAAAAATAATATGCTCTCAATAAGCTAATAAACTATAAAAATCTTCTCATATCAGCTTATTATATGCATAAAAAGTATTAGTATAAAGCTAATGGGATATGTTAAAATAATCTGATACAAGTTTTATAACACTTTCTACTTCTTCCTCTTGGACAGAAGATAATATGGAAGCTATTTCTCTCTCCTCCCTCTGTTTATCTCACTCTTTAACTCTGTCTAAGGAAACATTACAGATTCAAAGGTTTAAAATTTTTTGTTTTCACTCCCTGGAAACAGAAACCATGGAAGTTTATGATCCCAAAAAACCATAATTGATTTGAAAGAATGGTGAAGGAAAGAGAAAATATTACCACTATAAAAGAAGATAAATTCCCTTTTGGATTAAAGCAGATCTTCCCATGCTGTATCCTCAACAAAGTGATTATCATTAATTGAACTAATTAGGAACAAAATGATCAGAATGAAAAAGAAAAATAAAGGGAAAAAAACGCTAATAAGCAAGTCCTTACTCAATATCTAACAGCTTATTATCTCCCCAAGAGAAAGAAAAGATGGAGCTGATCATCAACATCAGGAGGAAGAAGAAGAGCCATTAATATGAACATGAGCAACACTATCTGTTTCAAACTGATTGTTCTGATTCTGACCATGGTTTTTGAGGTCCCCATGAGTTTCATTGTTTTTGTCTTCATGGGTGAGTCCACTATCAAGATTGTTGTTGCTATTCCCACTCCCATTATTCCTACTTCCAGTCCCTCCACTTCCTCCTCCTCCTCCTCCATTGGCTTGATCTTTCTTCCCAAAAGTGTTCTTATTGTTATGCATCCAAACTTTTAACACCCCTCTATCAACCCCAACTTCATTACATAACTCTTGAATGAGTTCTTCATCTCTTTTCTGCATCTTCCACCCAACTCTCTCCGAAAACTCCAGCATCTTATCTTTCTGCAACTGAGTGAACTTCGTTCTGAATCTTTTCTTCGAGTTCGAACCAAGATTTGTGGTGTTTGGGGTAAGGGCTCCAGCAACAGCTGGTAAATAAGAGTTATTGTGAGTATTGTCTAATGCACCAGTGAGAGCTCCTGAAAGGGCTAAAAGCATGTGAGGAGCTGAAGGGTAGTAAGACGATGAGATTGGTGGTGGGGAAGCTGAGTTTGGACTACGATGTGGCTGACTTGCAGGAGGTGGTGGATGGTGGCGGTGGTGAGACTGGTATTCTATCGTAGCCGAGGCTGTTGTGGGGAGTGGGTCATCAGGTTCCCGGCGGTGGAAGTTGCGGTGACAGCCACAAGCAGCACATTTGAGGGAAGTTGGGTCGGTTGGGGTGGCTGTTGGGGAAGGCATGAATTCACCACACCCATCCAGAGCAAGCCCTCCCAAAGTGGCTGCATGGTTCTTGAGACATTCTTTGTAGGTTATGACGATGGGTGAAGCGTGGGGGTGATGATGGTGGTGGTGGTGAGGCTGGTGACGCTTCAGAACACCGTTGGTGAAAGATATGGGCTTGGTCGGTTGGATCTGAGTTGGTGTTTCACTCTCCGGCTCTGGTGATTTCGGTGTGGTACTTAGTGGGGTGGTGCTCGTGAGGGCTATCTCCATGGCTAACATCTAGAGTTAACAAAAAATCTATAGATTAAAGAAAAAAAATAAAAGAAAGAAATTTAAAATAGGCTTTTGAAGATGGGTTTTATTAGAAATTTGATACCATGGAAGAAATTAATAAGCTTGGAAATGGATAAAGGAAGACAAAAAAAGCAAAAAGATGGGTTCTCTTTTCTATGTTGTTTGGGGGAGTTTGGTGTTTTTGATCCCGGAAGATGAAGGTAGGATGAGCAGTGATGACCGTTGATAATAATAATAATAAAAAATCCATGTTTTTGTGGTTGTCCATCTTAACCACTTGTTTTTAACCCTAGTTCTAATCCATGGTTAAGTTGTTGACCCCACTTGAGGGTTAATATAGTTGTACAATTTATATTTAATATATTATTGATGTATAAATTTTATATATTATTAATAAATTATATATTACTATTTAGTCAAATAGAATTTGATATATTCTTAATCATATTTTGGAGGAGAAATTAAATTAAAGTAAAATTTGGTATGATATTATTCAGATTTCTTGGTACTGAAAATTTGAGATAAATAAATTATTTTAAGTTAAGTAAGATGTGCATTTTGAAAAGTTTTATTAGTTGCATTGAATCAAATATCATCAATGAAATCGAATTCAAACATTTTATTAACATATTACCAAGAGAAATTAGTATTAACTTTTCGTTCGCTATAAAGTTAAAAAAAAAAAAAACCTTAATTGTGCAATAATGTAAAAGTTTGAGGAGATTAACTCCAAATGAAGCAAGCTGTTAACTTTGGCTAAAATTATGACTGAGAAGGAGCAGGCAGCTGCAATTCTGATCGCTGAGACACTGACTGTAACCTATCTTAAATTTGTCAAGTGGCAGTATGGGCTTTAACCGTAACCCACCCTTTCAATTTTCAATTTTTATGCTTTTTGGCAACCCCTAACCTTTTTCATTTTAAGTTTAATTTTTTAGAATGGCATAACTATCCTCCATTCATTTCAATGGGTAAATGGGTAATTTCGCTTGGTAGTGTCAAAATTGTCTTTTCGCATGTAAGGGGTCAATCTACCAAAATCCAGGGTTTTCTTTTGGGTAACTACAGTGTCGGCTAGGCAGAATCTACGAGCGTTTTGAACGGTGTTTGTCTGAAAACTCTCTCAATTCTTCTGCTAAAAATTTTTAAACGACATCGTTTATTAAACATTGATTGACACCCCCATGTCTTGAAACAGTATTTAAAAAAGATAAAAATAATTTTAAATATGATATAATAATATAAAATAAAACAAAATACAATATTAAAATTGTATTTCTGGACTATAAAATAATAAAAATAATTTACAAATCTCTAACACAAAACAGTTATTACATAAATATACATGAATTACCAATACTAATGTAAGGGCATACTTTTATTTCAGCCAAAACACCTTTAAAAAGGTCAAAAATTAACAACGCCAATCCTTGGAGTTTAGTGCATGAAAAACTCCCATAATTAACACGTAATCACATTCAACACGTAAAGAAACTCCTTGATTGGGAGACACGGGTTAATTAATCTGACAGGTGGGGCAATCGCTTTACATCCCCGGGTGCCACGTGGTAGTGAAATAATAGGTACTCCTTTCAAGCCAAATTTTTAATAATTGGGATTGTGTTTTAGAATTGATAATTTAAATTATGATAGAATAATAAAATATAAAAATGAAATGGGTTGAAATTTTAATAATAAATATTTATGAACTTAATAAATTAATAAATTATTTTATATTTTTATATAAATATAAATATATAAATTTTAATATTTTATAGCACATAAATTTACTAATAATTAAATGTACTATCGGCATTAAATTAAACAACAAGGAAAGAGATGGGAAATAAATTATTTCATACATTTTGTTTCAATTTAGGTACTTGCCGAATCACGCCTTACCGTCAAAAGTAATTTAAAAATAAAGTTTGCCAAATTGGAATTTTTTATCAATTGGATAAACCTTTTTTTTTTAATTCCAATAATAAGTTATGGAAGAATCTATTATTATCGGGTGTGTAAGGTATACATGGATTATATATTTTTTTAAAATCTTGATTAAGATTAAAAAATTCATAAAATTGCAACTACAAATTTTTAAAATTATCAAGTCAAGATAAAATTAGTTTATATTTTTCTCTCGTCAATCAAATTAAGCATTTCGAAAGGGAAATTGTTATATGCACGAGATTATATGAAAATGTTATGCCCTTAAGATAGCTCGGGGAAAAATTTGATTCCCTAAAAAAAAGTCCAAAACATCTATGACTATCATAAAAAAGAAAAAAAGGACAAAGTATTTCATTATATATACTAATTAAAGTTAATTCAAAACTAATTTTAAACTTGTGAAAATGTTTAATAAAATATTTTTCATTTAATGGACTATTTTACACCAAATTCAATATATATCAATGGCAAAATTTTATCTCGAAGATCTCATTTTTAATCTTGAGATTTATAAAATAAAAGAGTGATGATTTTTTTTAATTTTTTTTTCTAAATTTTACAAATTTCTTTGTCAATAACATATGCATACCAAAAAAATTACAAATTTTTTTAAATATTAACTTAACCAATATCAATAAATACAGTTAACGTTTTTCTTTAACAATCAACACAAGTTAATCCGAACGGTAAAAAGTAGAATTTTTTTTGTCATTATTATGATATGGATTATTGTGAAAAACTACCGAAAGTAAAATAGTAAATACATAAAAAATTATGAGAAGTGCATCTTTGAGATTAAGGTTCCGTTTCTTTTGTAAAATTTAATTTTCAAAAAATATTTTTTAAAAATACTTACATTTTTTGAAAAAAATAAAAATTTTTTGTTATTTAAAAGGGTTAATGAAAATTATTTTTGTTATTTGATTATTTTTTAAAAAAATATTTTTTTGAATAATATTAACATAACTATTAAAATATTAAAAATTATTTATGAATAAAATGTATTCAAATTATTTATTATTAAAATTATTCATATTAAAAATTTATATTTTAATAATAATATTTAATATTAAAATATTATGTTAAATAAAAATACTTAAAAATATATTTTTTATTTATATTAATATTTTAAAATATTTAATTTAATATTACTATTTTTAAAATATTATTTTATTAATATAATAATAAGAATATTAATATTAATTTATTATGAAAACATTAAAAATATTATATTATTAAATAGTTATATTTTATGTTGAAAATATTTATTATTAAATTGTAAAAAATTAGTATTTATATTTATTATTAAAATAATAATGTAAATACATTAATAAATAAATATAAAAATAATATAATCTAATTTTAAAATAATAATAATTAATGATATTCATTTTATGAAAATAGTAATATAATTATATTATTTAATATTAATTATTAAAATAATAAAAATATTAATTAATATATCACTATTTATTATTAAAATAACAATACAATACTATTTATTATGGAAATATTAAAAATATTTATGTTTAATAATATACAAAATATAAATATTTAAAATTAAATTCTTTTAATGTTTATATTTTAATTTTTAAAATAAAACTAAATAAAATTACTTTTTTAATATAACAATATTTCATATCGAATTAAACAAACTTAAACTTAAAATATCATATTTAAAGTTTTACTTGAGTTAAACTATAAAAAAAATTTAATTAAAATATTAAAAAAAAATTTTAATTTTTTAATTTTTTATAAAATTAAATAAAAATTTTTCTATTAATATAATAATACTTTAAATTGGATCAAATAAAATTTGAATTTAAAAAAATATGCTTAAAGTCTAATTTAAGTAAAATTATACTAGCGAGCTAATAAATAGTCTTATTCATAAATATATTTTTTTAAATCATCTTTTTCTTTTGAATAATTTCATTTTTTATTGATCACTAAATTATTTTTTATTAAACAACCAATTAAAAATTAAAAATATATAAAAATTATTTTTATAAAACAAACGAAACCTAAAAAAAAAAAAATGCATAGGTTTCTTTCTTTCTTTTCCCTCATTAAAAAAGGGTTTAAGACTTAAGAGGCACTGACTTTGGAGAAACTAAATGATTTTGACAGCAGTAATTTAGTAAATAAAGGTAGATAGCCAATGAGATTTGTACAAAGAGGATTAATGTGACGTAAGCAAACCAATCATTTAGATGCTAAGGTTTAATCACCCAAGCGTGTGAAACCAACCGTTGCATTGAAGCTTGAATCCTCAGAATTTATTATTTATTACAATACAATTTTTTTTACCACTGCTTTTAGTTTTTTTTTTTATTTTCTTATATTCCTAAAATGACAGTAATTGTTTTTTTTTGTTTTAAAGGTGAAAGTACAAACAAAACAGCCTTATTATGTTATTTGACTGAACATTTGAGTACTTTACTGTGGCCAATTAAAATCATATGTACCATTTGATTTTGAGTGCATATCATGAAACCAAAAGTAAATACTATTTTCATCTCAAAATATTTATTATGTATTAATTTTTATAAAGTTTTAAAAAATTTTAATTTTAATGCATTTAATATTAAAATTTAAATTTTTTTATAAAATTAAAGTTTCATAATTTTTAATGTTAAAAAATAAAAAAATTTAAAATATAAAAAAAATTTAGATGTTCAAAAAATAAAATATGACATCAAAAATTGACAAAGAAATTAAGACTAGGAAGTAATAAATATGGGATATGTAATCCAATATTTTTCATTATATTGAATTTTTGAAGAAAGTGAAAGAATTTTGACCTTTCAATATATTTTTTTAAGCCAAAATTTATTAAAGCAATCATCAAGTTACAAAGCTAGTTAAGACCAGCAAATATAAGATTCAAAGTACCAATAGAAACTCACTTAAGAATTAAATTACTTAAATGTAAATCAAAGTATCCTCTCAATTAGTAAAACCTATAAAAAGTGACTAAAATTACAAACAAGAATTCAAAATCCAACCATACATATGAAAGACTCATCACATTATAGACACTCATTTTATTCAAAAATATATATAGTTTTATTTCAAAAAAATTCTAATTGATCCCTAATTTTATTCTAATCCAATCTCGGATTACTTATTGGGCCAAATTAGATTTCAACCCATGTATAACTTTTCTTTCCTTTTATTTTTATTTGTATTTATTTATTATTTTACTTTATTTTGATTTTGGTTTTTATTATTTTCTTGTCTTTTTCTGCTTCATCT